CTCCATGGCCGAGCTCGGCAATAAAGGCCACGGTCCTCGGAGCCCTAGCGCTCGTCCCGTTGCCCGCCGCCACCTCGGTGGCCATCCACTACGCACCCAAACCTAGAGAGAAGAGGGAGAAGAGGAAGAAGGGGGGGAAAGAACGCCGAAGCCGCTGTAGGGGAGGAGATCGCTGGAGCCGGGAGCGACGCCGTCGGCTACATCACCAACGCGGGTCGGCACGGCACTGCACGGCTTCCAGAGCTACACAGCCTCGAATTGACACTACTCCGCCATCCTATCTCCCACAACACCTACGGTGAGCCTTCCGATCCCTCTCTGCCGTCGAACCTCACCGTCGGCCATGGCACTCCACACCTGGAAGCGCGTAGGCCAGTGCCTTGCCTCAGCCACTTGGAACACATGCACCCACGCGCACACCGAGATCACCGTGACACCCCACCGGAGCCCATAGCGCACCAGCGTGCGCATCGCCGTCGACGCCGCCGCCATGGCGCACCAGACCACCTTCGAGCATTAGACCACCGTGCCGAGCACCAGACCACCGGTCCGAGCACGCGACCACCGATCCGAGCACTAGACCACCGTGCCGAGCACCAGACCACCGTGCCGAGCACCAGACCACCGGTTCGAGCACCCGACCACCGGTCAGAGCACCGACCACCGTGGCGCTGATTCTTTGGAGCGCTGGCGCCTCCTTGACTCGCCCATCCCGTTCGGCCGGTTGCCGTGGGTAACTCACGCGCACGCCGTGACCACCCCGCTGGAGTCCCGTGGTTCACCCGCGTGCCTTACCATCGTCACTACGTCGCCATGGCCGCCGGGACATCCCTACCGGCCACAGGAGAACCGAGCCACGCCTTGAGTCTGGATGACCTCGCCGCGTTCCCACGAATCCGTAGAAGCGTGCACGCCCCGCCGAGACGTTTTACCATGACCGTAGACACCTCACCGATACCGCCGTCGAGCTCGGAAGGGCGCCGCCGTGGCCAAAGCCACCGGAGGCCCTGGAGGACCCCTCGACCTGCCCAACATGCCCGTTGGGGCGTTGTGTCGCCCACGCGCACCACAGAACCAGCCTATGCCGCAGCCCCGCGCCATTCCCGCACGTCGGTGGAGCTCGAGCCGCCGCTCGCCGTGGCCAGCACCTTGGGGAAGCTCTGGCCGCCACCTTGACCCCACTGACACAGTCGTCGTGGCCCAGGGAAGCTTTTCCCCTCCCCAATCGGACACCAGAGCCACCGCGGGGGCTCACCGTGAGCTCGCCGCCGGCAGGAGCACCACCGCGGTAAGAAACAGGGGAACACCCCCCTCGCCGGCCACCTGCGCGTGCACCCGGAGTACCTGGACCAAGCCTGGGAGGCGATGGGTGGACTCGGTCCACCCTAGACCAGTCTGTGGTCCATGGACCAACACCACTTAGTCCACCATAGACCGCAGCCATGGACCACGGCCCAGTAAAGAGCCCACGGCCGTGACGTGGCCGCGTCACTGGCGTGCCGCAGTACGGCGGCTACCGCCTGCATCGCCCAACCCGAAGAACAACCGGCCCAGCTAGAACCCAGCCCGTATTGACCATTGACTGGTCAACGCTGACCGTTGACCTGCCCCACATGTCAGTGACACACGGACACACCTGGACCCCACGTCCGGATCGTCGACGTCATGATGACGTCACATAGGACCCACATGTCAGAAGTCAGCACAGCCAAGGTGATGTCATCGCGACGTCCGCCGACATCACCGATGACGCGTCAATGACCCTCGCCCCACACTTCAGTGACCCTGACCGTTGACCGAAGACATTGACTGTTGACTCACCGTTGACTTTGACCGGACCCACCTATCAGTGACTCAATAGCCTCTGGCCCCACCTGTCGGTGAGCATGACGTTGATGACGTCATGCTGACGTCAGCTAGACCCCACCTGTCAGCTCGGAACCGTGATGCTGACGTCAGCAAGCCACGTGGACCAAACCACAGCGTGACACGTGTCGACCTGAGATTAATTCAGTCTTTTTCATTTTGAAATGGAATTAATCTTGAAATTCATAACTAATTCATACGACCTCGGAAAATACTGAAACCAGAACCAAAATTCATCTAAAATCGAGCTCACGCAATGGACCCATGTTTGAGTGCATTTGGCTCTTTTGAATTTTCATTGCTTCTTTGTGCTATTCTATAGACGTCGCTAACGCAACTATAATGCGGTCGTTTGCAGACACGGAGGAAAACCGGACGGACGAGGATCGTGAATACCGTGAGGAGTACGGAGACGACTACACTGAAGGTGCCACATCCCACCCACTCTCGTAGCACCTATTACGCATGGCTAAAGTAGAAATGCTAGTGCTTACTTTATTATCATATCACACTATGGTAGGACTTGCATGGTAGTATGCTTTCTTGATGGCCTTTACCTTGACGCTTAACCTTACCCCTGCTCACCCTATTTGTTAGGCTAGTCACACGCTTGCTAATATATTTCATTGCTTACTACTTCTACTACGCTTGCACTATATGGAGGCTTGGTGGAAACTGGTGTTATCTGGACCATGGGGAGAGTCTTTGCGTGTGTGACTTGGGTGCGTGGAGGGTGAGGGTTGTGTCGACCAACTGTTGGAGTATCTGACGAGCACTGGGCAAGTCTTGTTGTGGGTGCTACAGGCACCCCTAGAATGGATACCTATGGTGGGTAAATGGTATATGAGGTGGCCTTGGGTGTGATCTGTGATGGGAGGAGCCCAGGTGGTGGAGGTCTTTGTGGTGGCACGGTAAATGGAAACCACGATGAAGACATTCGGCTTGGTCATCCCTAAGGACTTACTAGTACTCGGGATTCACTTGGGAAGCCTTACGTACCACTCGCCCTATATGGTGCGGGACGGCCGGACTACTTGGTAGGATATTGCCACTACTGCTAGGTTGTTAGCGGACAGTGTAAGGAGGTACGGGGTGCGGAGGATTTCCCCCACACCCTTCCGAGACTTCATGGAGACCTTGTGCACCTGGCTCATGACTCACAGTTTCAGCCACCCCAGACCGGACTTGGGGTGTACCAGGGCTGAATGGTAGAGTGGCATTATCCTAGGCTAGCAAGCGGCCGGAATCAGCCTAGTTGACGATGGTCAGCGAGGAAGGCGGATCTTGTGGTTATGTAAAACCTCTGCAGAGTGTATGGTTGATCGATCGATACATATGACGACTTGTCGGCTATGGACCTTTTCTGGGTTTCGCTTAAACTAGATAGTGAGATGAGTCTTTCTTTTCTCCCCCTGGGATGAGTGTTCGGACGTAGCCAGGGGCTACGGGCCTTGAGACAGTGCCGAGAGGGAGTCGGCTTGTCGACTGAGCGATGGAATGGGTGTGGTATGGTGATGGTGTGGATATGGTGGTATATCGATCCCAGGATCGAAACCTGGCTCTGGAATGGAAATGGGGTGGAATGGGTGAGAATGGTGTTAAAAACTTGACCAACCATTATTATGAACTTGATATGTTAATACATAGGAAACCCCAGCTTTATAGGTTCCTCTTGATTATATCTAACTTGCATCCAATTCCCACAAAGCAATGCTCATAGGGTTGGGAGTGGCCAGTACAAATCGTACTGATAAATTTTGGCACACAGGTTCTGCTGAGGAGTATAGCTCCGAGGAGTTTGACGGTTGAGGGGTTCGTTCCTACGCTCGAGTTTGGCGATCTTATCTTCAAGCTGTTCTGAATGAATGCTACTTTTGATTCCGCCAATGCGGCGATGTAATAAATTATGTAATTCCGCACTATTGTACTCTGATATTATCGTTGTATGGATGTGATATTCGACTGGAATTTAGGTAATATGATCTACAACGGTCTTATTACACTTTGACTCTGTGAATTTCCCTTCGTGGAAATCGGGGTTGTTTCATATTGCATTCATATTGGTTGCATCTTATACTTTTGTGGCACAAGGTTTTAAAAAGTTTATACATTAAATAGAATGTTTTGGAATTTTTCTACATTTTTCTAGATATTTTCCTATAGTAAACCTATTTTTAAGCTTTATAAAGATGTTTTCATGAGCTCTAAATATTTTATTTGGATTTGTCATATCCCAATCTTTCTCTAGATTTTTTTTCTAAATTTTTAAAAGCTTAGAGACATTGTTTGTGGTTTAAAAACTTTATTAAGTATTTACGAACTTTTTAACTAAAAAGACAAACCTACCTTCATAACCACTCTAAATTAAGATAGGGAGGTAGTTTGAATGATTTTGAGAGATCAAGAGGTGAGGTGTCTGGTTTTAAAGTTTGAGGAGCAAAATCAGAGTAGGACAATAGCGGAGGGTGGTAGAATGGGGTGTAAAGCGCCGATAGCAATTTAACATCTCATTCCAGTTCCCACCAATATTTTGCCAGGGTAGTATAGGAAAGCCAAAAGGCCATAGTCGATGTTGTGTCACTGTTAGTGTGATGCAAGACAAATGTAACCTGATGGGTATGTTTTTTTTTCCGTAAGGTCAGCAAGAGTTTTGCCGAAATATATTAGTAGAAGAAAAAAAGCTATACAATATAGTTACAATACCGAAGCAAAAAAGACAACCAAACATCTTAACAACGGCAGACCACTATCAAGGAAAAACTCGCTCCAACAACATAGGATCAGAAAACCTGATGGATGTGTTGCAACTGCAGGTTGCGTGTTCAGAGATGTCATCTGGATGTATCAATTATATATCAAATGAAGCAAATCACTAGTGCAAAGTTGGAAATGAGGACTCATTTAAATTTCAAACATTACATACAGTGCAGCTTCAGAAAACAACATTACACAGAGCGAAAGGCATTATATATAGAAGGAAAACAGACGACATAACGTAGCCTTTTTATTATTACAGACACTATGACATAGATGAGGAACAATAGCAGTATAGAGTAGCACGTCCGCAAACACACTTGCAAATTACGAAAAGGATCGGAAATAAATTAAATCGGATTAGCCAGCAGGACAAGGTGTCAAACCATGTCGTCATCTTCAGCCATGCAAATCTCGGAAGTCGATGGAGCGGCACCAGCGCGGGCACTAGTGGTGTGGACCTCAGAAGAAGTCGATGGAGCGCCTGCGCCGGTGGTGGAGGAGACCCGCTCAAAAGTCAATGGTGGAGTGGTGGCGGCGTGGTTCGCAGCCTCATCATCATCATCCTCCTCCCTCTGCAGCTTGTCGGTGAAGGTCTCCATCCCCATGTAAAAGAGAAGAAGCCAGACATAGGAGAGGAACTCGCCGCCGTTGCCCAAAGCCTTGGCATGTAGGTAGCCTCTACACTTGCCGGCAGAGAAGCAGAGCATCTCAACCCAGACGCCTTGGATCACCTCCCACATCTTCTTCTCATCACCTAGGCGTTGCAATGCTTGAGCAAGCATCCAAGCGTCGTGGATGAAAGTTTCTGCTACTGCAGGCCCAGGGCAGCCTGCTGCTTGTGCTTGTGATGACGACGACGACGACTCTAGCTTCCTGATAATCTTCAATGTAAGCTCTCTCTTCTCCAGACCCAGTGGTGGCTTCTGACCATTATTCTCCAATACGCCCTTGAGCTCTTGGTAGGTTGCCGTGGCAAGATTGCTCCTGGAGCCAGGCAACAGCATCTCAGGGTTGACGAACAGGAGGTACGCCATGTAGTTGGACATGTGTGTGCATAGGACGGCTTTACAGTGGGTCAACTCCTGGTCACATCGAGGACACGATGTCATACTCCGGTCGTTGCCGGCAGGTGGTGAACTAGTAGTCCAACACCATTTCACTACCATTTCTCTGATCCATTTTCTTGCTTCATGAATTAACTCTGGTATTCCTAGGAGTAGAATGAAGGTAACAGTTGATAGCCTTGATTTCCATGTCGGGACCTTAGCAAAGGCACATGTCGTCGTATGCTCTGCAAAGGAGCTGGTGAAGAAGCAGAAATCTGTGGCCATGTGCCAGAGGAGGACACTCTCATCGAATGGCCTCTTCTTTCTCATGCTGCTCAAGCTCAAGTCCAAATGATGACCATTGCTGCTACTGGAGGTGGTTGCGCTTAAGATCAAGAAGCTAAGCACCGGCCAGCGTGTGCTGTGATTGTTGAACCTGCGGTAGCTAGGGACGTCCTGTATTTGTTTCTTCCACCCATCTTTCAAATATCCAAGAATGAATCTTGAAATTGTGGCAGAGGAGAAGCATGGCCCCATGCCCTTGCCTCCAAACTTCCACTTGATGTTGTGCTTCATGTTGCTGCTGGCAAAGTACCCTATGAGGCTGTATTGAGCGACCACCTCGGGCCACAACTTCCCAAAAAGACTCACCGATGATTCAACCATACTACTAGTTGTGTCCCCAACCATAACAGGAAGCTCAGAACTAATTTCTAGAATAGTAGTACAACAGAATATGGTATATGTAATCTTGACATCAATACCATCATCATTATTTTTATCATGTGCTTCTTTGCTATGGCTCCAGTGGTGGAAGAGACTGATGGAAACCAACGGTAGCACCCAACATAAATTCCGTATGAATGCGCGACAACCGAGCATCACCATATGGTAGAGCCGGTCACTCATAGTTTTCAACACCTTTGCCAAATCAGTTTGTGTGGTAAAGCCTGCGGTCTTTAGTTTGGTGTAGAGAAGATGGAACGCAGCGGCGAGCCCTCTCTGCACGTGGCCATATGCTCTCTCCTCGCTAATGCCCCAGAAATACTTAAGGATACCGAGGCGGAGACGATAGGGAGATGTTAGGTCGACAAATAGCCTATAGGAGGCCTCACCGAGCAGTCGAAGATATTTGCTGACTTGATCATTTTCTTTCATTACTTGTCTTACTTGCTCAATGACTTGTGCACAGAAGCATCCTTTTCCTTCTTGCGATGGAGAATGATTGTTGTGATGCTCCCCAGAAGCCGGCCATGTCATTGTTACCTCGTCCCCCTCGAGCTTGCCTAGATAGATAGATAGATAGATAGATAGATAGATAGATAGATAGATAGATAAATAGATAGATAGATATATAGAGAGAGAGGAGGTGGGATCGCAGGAGGCCTCACCGAGCTCTTGAAGATGTTTTCTATTTTTTTGTCTCCATTGATCAAGTTGTTTCAACAAAATCCTTAATGGTTCTAAGAGTTGTGCACATAAGCGGCATTCTTGTGATGGAAAATGATGATTGCCATCCTCCATAGAAGCTGCAGGTGTTGCCACGTTGTCCACAACATTGTTGCCTATATACAGGGGTCAAATATATAGTTAAGCAAATGAATAAGTCAATGGGAATTATTTATAACTAGTCCATCAACAAGAGTCAAGACATTGTTGATAAGCAAATTAATGTGACTTGCAAGATACAATTATTAAGAAAATAATCGAGTTGGAGCTTTGGCTACGAGAGCTAAAGATGGGTTGATGAGAAGAATGAAAGTACTGGAACTCCCCTCAATGTTATAGTCGGTGGAGCTGTACTCACGGACAAATAACCAGTTATTTATCACGAATCATTGAGACTAGGATAGGCCATAGAATTTAGGAACATTAGAATTCTGTCGATAATAAGTACAATGAATTTTGTATTTTAGAAAAAAATATTGAAAAAGAATTCACAGTTTCTACTCTAGGAGAAAAAACCGTCATCTCCTACCAGATTAGTTCCTAATTTTTGTTTTGAAGCTAGTAATGAGTAATGACCCCACCTATAGTACCCGAATTTTATCTGAACTTCCTATCTTCTCTAATTTTATTTTCAAAATAGGAGAAAAATATCAAGAGTAGCAAAAGTAACTTTTGAAGGTTTAGTTATGGCTAGGGGTTATAGTCGATGTTGGTTGATTATTTTTAACGTCTCTAATTCAAATTTGAATATGAAATTTTGAACAAGGAAAAAAGGAACTATATATAATATAAGAAATGTGGTGATCTATGATGATGGATCAAATCATCGTTAATTGTTTCTGTTTATGACATTTTCAAAAGCCATTCAATCTTGTTTCTTCTCTCCACCGCCCCAACTCTCTCAACCCCACCGCCCCTCTGCTCTCACCTGCCCTCTACTATCACCCATGACATCCTGTGCGTCGAGCTCCTACTTAGACATCTTAATTAATTATATGATGTTTTAGACATCTCTGAACTGAACTAATCTTGTCATTAAATTGGTTTGTTTGATAACATGACTTTTGTCTTAATAGTCATGGCTCTAGTATGTGAGATGTTGCATCCTTAAAACAATGTTGAAGCTGTAGTGATATCACTAAAGTCTCAATATAGTCTTGAACACCAAAAATACCAAATGCCAGTTTTATTCACATTTTACAATCTTCTATATTGAATGATGATAATTCTATTGGTATTTGGTTACAAATTGGACTTGGTTGTAGATCTCTTTACTTTGAGTTGCACAGATAATTCGGTACTCTCTGTTTTAGTTGGGATCTTAACATTGCTCTTCTTATCTGTAAGACCGCAAAACTAATTTGTCAGTTTCATGTGCATACTGGTATTTCAAAAATATGGATTGTGCAAACTGGTATTTCTTAAATATTGCAATCATTGGTGCCAACTAATAAGTTTTTCTCCAATGATTCTCCATTTTGTTTCATCTCAGAGGGTAATCATGTGTCAGAAAGCAACCTAAAGATGACCATGGTTTAGATCACTTTGTGTGCAGCTGATGGCTTTTTCAAAAATGGGTATTGGCATATTGCAAACCTATAGATAGGGTTGAAAACGGATGGGTTAAATCTCGACTTGACACGTCCTGTTTTCTACATTTGACCCGCTCATTTCTGTATTCTCAGAAAAATCCGGAAATGGGACGGGATGTGGATTGAGGCTCCGCGGGAGCGGGACAGAAACAGGAGAACCTTCGTTTCGTCCGTTTTCTCAGGATCCCGTATTTGGTTGGAAACATCCCGTATTTCATCCCTATTCCTCATATTCGGGATGAGCACAATAGACCATACCCCTAAGAGCCAATAGCTCTAGAGAGAATTATCTATTTGGCATTGAAACAAATCACTCTTTCGTATAAGGCATTAAAATTTTTGAACTTCCTTATCTAGCATCAACTTGAAAATTCCTTTCATAAATGGCACTGCCGTTCATTTGATGCACTAACGGTGTCAAAGTGACAGGTCAAATAACATTTATACCCTTCTATGTAGCAGCTGGGCAGTGTAGTGCTAGATAGGAAAAGAATAAATAGACATGTTGTGGATATGTTAGAGGTTATTTTAATTATCTTTTGATACAGGAAAAATATGTTAGAGGTTATTTCCATTATCTTTTATAATGACATATGTGGATAATTTCGATGTAAATTTAATTTAGGAGGTTCCTTTATGTATTTTTTTTTCAGGTGGGTAGTTTTTTTGGGATGATAATTGTCAGAGTCTACCAAACTAAAGGTAAGATGTTTCTGATTATTTTGTGATTTTGTAGGATTTGCGTTTTTTCCTAGTGCATTTTGCTAAGATTAACATAGAGGCTCTTTTATGAACTCTAATTCCGTAACAGTAAGATAATGTTTTTTTAATAAAAATTTCGTACGGATAACAAATTAGATATAATAATAATACTAGCTAGCTAGATTGTATATACTGCTAGTATGTGTATAGCTAGGGCTCACCGTGCTCCTTGGGTCTTGGAGGACTGTCCTCGTACTCCTGATCCACAAATTCCTTGGCTCGTTTCACGTATTCCTGGAGCGGATACATGCCTTGGTCTTGTTTTTGTCTTGCAGCTGGTGATGAGCTGACGAGGCTATAAATGCTCGCACTCTTGAGAGCCCATGGCTTCATGAAGCATTTGAGAACCCCGGGGATGAACAAGAGAATTGCTGCCTGCAACAGCCTCTTGTCGTGGCCTCGTGGCCAGGACTTGCAGAACACATAGATGGCCACGGTGACCTGAGACACCGCAGTGAGCAGGTGCCTGCTCCACAGCTCGTTGTCTTCAATGTTGTAAGCAGTGATGCTGTCTTGTCCGCCAAGGTGGAGTAGGAGGACGGGCGCCCACATCACCTCTAGCGTGCCGGCCACGGCGCCGCTGCCGCCACCTCCTCCACCACCACCTTGATCCTCCTTATGACGGTTGAAGAGTGTGGCAAGGGCGTAGATGGCCACAGCATCACCGGCGAGGTATGCCAGCCACGTTATGGATCTGGCCCATCGAGGAATAGCAAACCTACGCAACGAGGAAAAGACCAAGAGAAGCATTTGGATGGCCATGCTGCTGAGAACGAGGACGCGCAGCTGCCACTTCTCCCACCAGTGCACAGCACCCGTGAGGCCTCCCATCTCTCTCTATCGTTTGGTCGTCTCTCCCAGCACAAACACACTGCACGCGCCGACGCCAAGTGAGGCCTCTCGTCGTCCCTCCTTTAATAAGTTTATAGAGAAGGGTATGGTCGGTATCAAACAAGAGGATGACCTATGGCTTTCGTTCGTTCACCTCCAAATTAAAGCACTCATGATTCTATTCCTTGCTTCTTGTCACCTAAAATTTAAAGAAGTAACGCATCGGTGCTTATGCTTTGCTTCTTTGCATGCATCCTTACTTGTGTCTTGTCCAAAGCTTCATGCATTCCATGAATTCCCGAGATAGCTCTTTTTTTGTAAAGATGGTTGGTCCTCACTACATACCGTAGGAATTGATCTTTGTTAAAGACCTGGACAACAATTTGCCCAGCTAGCAGTACCTAATTACTAATAAAGAGAGAGACAGTCCTAAGACAGCTTTCTTTACACACTGAAGAGCTTCAACACGAGGATGGTGTACTGTAAATAAACGCTATATATTCCAGAGGTGACTCTGGCCGGGGAGAAGAAGACAATATTGTTTGCAAATGGACTGCTGATGGAGTGTACTAGTAGACTGCCAAATCGGTGTAAGAAGCACAATTAGTTATTCTTTTCTTTTTTATATTGTTTTTCAAGCGTTTAATCACTTGATGACATCGATATAAAGGTACTATCTATAAGCAATGTGCAGCACTAATTCAGCTGCATGTCGCCTCTTTTTCACCCTTCCTTAAATTACAAGCTTTCTGATCAGAATTTCTGGAACTTCCAGGGCAAGGTGCGCCATGCCTTTAATATTTCATACCAGACCATATATGACAGCATTAGCTCCTCAGCATAACTAAATATTTATATATAGGTCCAAGATATCTACAGCCATCCCTAAAAAAAAGCAGTAGTAATTAAGAACATTGAGCTATTTCAGGATCAGGGACCGACATACATACACGTGGAAAGCTTGCTTTGTTTAGGCATTGTGTAGATGTTATCGGATTCACCTCAATTCATATGTATTGGGTGGATTGAAATGTAATGTATTTTAAGTTCCACACCAATCTATCCCAAAATATGTGGATTGATGGGAATACGACTATATCCAAACAAAGCCTTAGAGAATGTATGTAATATACTAGTGCTACACTGCTACTACGAGTAGTGGTAGAGAAGATAATCTACTGCATGCGCACGAGATCCCATTACATCGAGTTCGAACCACCGCCGTCTGCCGCCACCGCCGCCGCCGCCGCAGTGCAGCATGGTTCGTCCAGTCCAGTTACTCACCAAGCCAAAACAGCTGTTGCCGCCAGACGCAGCTGGCACTCACGCATCCACTCTGGGCCGACATACTGTGGGTTGTGCCGGCGCTAACGCGGGACGCGAAGCCCAGGCCCAGCAACGAGATTCGAGGCAGCCGCTGGCGCCTTGGTGATTTCCGCCTCCTCCCCTTTGTTTGCCGCCTGAATGGCTAAAGACACACGGACCATGTTAGGTAGGACCGTGACACACAACAAATATTAAAGGGTAAATTGGTTTCACAGCATCAACAGATCGTGAGATTCGAAAAATACCACTAAAAGATGAAACCGTTATCTGAAAATAGCATTCCGTCATATTTGAAGGTAACAGCATCCGTCGATTCTCGTCCATCTAAAGACAAAAAAAAAGTACAAGAAAGGTGCAAGTGTGTATGAGTTTTGTGAAAGGTGCTATGAGTTTCAAGTAGCATTCCGAAAGTAGCATTCCGTCGTATTTTATCTCTGCAGCACTTGGAGCATCCGCAGGGCATATGAGTTTCAAGTGAAAGGTGCTATACTTCTAGAGTACAAGAACTGTGCAAGTGTGCATGCATATAACAATGAAGCCAAGAGAAAATTCGGTATCGCACAAACACAAAGAAAGTTATATGTTGTATTGTATATGCATCACAAGTCCAAGTGAAAACATGAGATAGAAAAAAATCGTAAGGCATTCACAAACTCCTGTAAACTCTCTCTTATTAATGATATATAAGCCGGTTACCCGGATCTTTAAAAAAAAGATAGAAAAAAAATAAGAGAAAGCAAATGAGGTGAGGTAGACAACCATGTGCTCATAGGGTAGAGTTTGTGTGCGTGCGTTCATAGGAGGTGACTGTGCGTGCGTTATGAGCGTCTGCGCTGTGCTGTGTAATAAAAAAATATGAAAATACCTAAATATCAAGCTTTGAGTGCAAACTTTGACACCAATGGACGCTATGCTTTGAGATGCTCCAGCACACAACTATATATCATGGCATCATGCCCACACTTACGGAATGGACCAGTGAAGCAGTATTGTACACGGAAGCTGGTGGAGCCGGAAAAAACTGGCTTCACCGGCTCCCTATGGCTCTTTTAGAGAGAGTGTGTGTGTGAGGAGAGAGGAAAATAGATTTCGTACACAGTTCTGCTACAGTGAATAGTGTTTGTGTCAGCCGGAGCTAGAGACAATATATATATATATATATATATATATATATATATATATATATATATATTCTATATTATACCCTAGGTACTGAATATTAATTAGTACCCGAGCCTCCCACCGCACGCCTGGCTCACCGTCCTCCATGAGACTCAGGCACCCACGTCAAGGGGTTTGGGGCAGCCTTCGGCTCAGCCACCCGGCCCGCCTTTCGATGACCCAGCTCGGCCTTTCGATGACCGGCCCGGCTCGCAGTCAGATTTTGGAACCGCTCCCCAACCCATTGCCCACGTTCTCTGCGGTTCAATTCCAATCAGCTCGCGTTTCACCAAAAAAAAAAACAGCTCGCTCCGTCCGCAACCCTACGGCGCGCGCGCCCTGACCCCTCCGGCGCGGCACCACCCTGCACCCATCGGCGCCACCCTCACCCCTCCGGAGGCAGGTCGCAAGGTGTTGACAAAGCAGACTTGCAAGGTTGGGGCTGGGTCCGCGAGGCGCGCAGGTGCCGGGACTGACCTTGGCGATCTGGTCCAATGTCGGTGAGGCCAAGCAGCCAGACATTCATGTGGCCTGCTGGGGAGCGTGGAGCCCGATGAGATCCAACCACAGCTATCACAGCCATGGCTCCTGCAGTGCTGGTGGCACACAGGTATTCCATTCTGTCCCCGCATCTTCATCTGACATCGTCGCGTCCTGCAACTCTCCCATGATCCAGATCCATATGCTGAGGCACCCCTCTCCATCTAGACTGGGTAGACATCAAGTCTTCGGAAATTATCTCTTCCCCTCATCTTTTAAATATGGTCTCGATTAGTCATTTGTGGCAATCCTATTGGTCTTACCCAATGGTAATTTATCATAATTTTGTTCTTGTTCAGTCATAGGTGAAGGCGGTCATGGTGGCTTTGCGGAAGGGCTCGATAGACTGTCTGTTCTTACTGTAGTGCCGTCTGCACATTCAGAATTGAAGTGGGACAAACATAGAGCTTCTAATTTTCGCATTATCTGCTGATTTTCCAAAGCCACTACGCTACAGAATAGGATTGAGAAAGTAATCACAAGACTCTTTAATTCTTATCAGTGTCTGATATTGATCTTTTTATATTTTTTTCATTACATATTTACATCTATACGTAGCTGGGAGTTATAATGGCGCATTAACAGATCTAATCATTTTTATTTGTTTGTTTAATTCATATGCAGTGCCATTGTGTGATAATTATTAAATAAATTAGTCTACTTATCTATAGTACAGATGATTCAACATCTCTTTTTTATAGAGATTCATAAAAAAACATCAGAGATTATATATGGATATGCCAACATATTACTTATTTTGAATTTATTCATAGATGGAATTTTTTCACCTCCAATTATGATGCTTAGAGCTTATTTCATAAACACCAGTTTTGTTCATCTAGTTGTTAATTAACATATGTGGGTAGAGGGAGGAATCAAATTAGATAGACTGATTATGAGATAGTGTCTGTGAGTCAAGACGACGGGGAGACACAAAGGACACCCTATTATATGGTTTCATATAAATGAGAATTTTGTTGTACTTGGCATCAGGAATTGCTTTTGATATTAAAAATGTTTCTAGAATCACAAATGTCACAATCATTAAAATTAGTGTTCCTTCTCTCTTTGATGCCTTTCCTTCTTTTTTCATTTTCATTAACTCTAGGTTGTGGTTGTTTTAGTCCATGATGCATACTCCATGAACTATGATGATGCCATCTTTCCTAAAATTCTTGGACACACTTTTATCAGGCAAAGTTCAAATGAACTAGAAGTTTCTAATTTTCAGCTTATTAATTCCTGTTGCAGCATGTTCACTTGGGTTTCTATTTTGTTTAGTGATTTTGTGGACACTTATTTATCGTTTTTGGTGGACACATTTTTCTAATCAGGCAAGCTCAAATGAACTAGAAGATTTTGTGGCAGCATGGCATAGAATGCATGAACCATAGGTGAGATTCCAGGTATAATTGAGGGATTTCATAAAATACCTTTTTGATCATACATCACTACTTGATTTCAGTCTCGAATTATCCGGACCAGATTGTACGGTAGTAAATAGCAAGTCTCTTGGATGCTCCGTGTTTGTGTGAATGTTACTATATTGAGTTCTCTCACATAGCTGGTTCAAGAATGAGTTTTTTAACGATATCAGATTGCTTCTACTATTAAATTGCCTGATTAGAAAAATAAATTCGCAAGTTATCAACATATCTCTGCTTTCGAAGACGCGATTCCATCTTGTATAGCCATCTGTTAGTTGGTATCTTTCCGTTATTCTGTATTTTCATTTTACATGCCATGGCCTGAAAGTGGGGACAAATACTTTTGTATGTTCTGCTAGTTTGTGAAGCTGCAACTGCAATGTTGTGCCACTAGGTTTGTAAGCTGTCATCCCCAGCAAAATGTTTAAACTCACATTTGCTTTCAATATAAGCACAACATTTTCTAAACATGAAATAGTTCCTGATTTGATCTTTAATTCACTTTTGTTATTTGAAAAATTCATTATAGTCTGCTTATTCCCGAGTCTCATATCCTGGACACCTCCGTAAATGGCAACTCTGAGTATGGGATTACGATATTCATGTATATGAAACCTTCTCCATGCTCCTCTCATGCTCATGTAGTTTTTACTTAGCTATCCATTTAAGTTCACAGTTTCAAGAATGTTACTCCTGATTGAGTTCAGATCTTACCAAAAGCGAACAAAAGTGGATCTTGTATTGTTTTTTTAACTCCTTGCCATTTCAACTTATTTACCATATTGTTTTGATCCTTCTGAGTACTGGTGTTAAATAATCCACCTATGATAACGTAAAGAACATGTGGATTACATTGCGAACCCTGCAAAGTGCAAATATGTTCTGCTCCATTTCCTTGGCTACCACATGATTAATTTTCTTGATACTTATGTATATTTCTTGGTTGCTCTTTTATCACCATTCACACAAAATAGAAATATTTTAGTCTGCAAATTAATTAAATCTTCCACTCTACTTTCAAAATTTTCTTGCACATGAGGAATGGTGATTTCTTACCACAGAACGGCCTTGCATTACTCTATATATTCCTGTCGGGTTGTGATGGAAACGTCAAGATTGATGTGGTCTCTAATAATGAATTACACCTCACGGAGACTATTTTGATCTTGTCACTGTATTTGCGGTCTTATGTACTTATGAGTTTGTTGAAGTGGTTGTAATAATGAATCACACCTAAGGAGATATTCACCTAAGAAACTATCGTGCATTTGATTCCTACTAGTAATTGTTTTTGGTAGAACACATATTTTCACATTTGAAAAATTACCTAATCAATTAGTGTGGTGTGTCATTATGTGCTATAGCCGATAGGTATTGCCTCTTCTTGTGTTAGTTAGATCAAGTTTCCAAAGTGAACAAGCATAAATTGTTTTTCTTAACCACAGTTCCTGCAACTGAAGCTGAATCTTCTTAGCTTAAGGAATATATCCGTATTTTTTTCATCTCAGAAGAACTAAATGTTTGTTGCTAAGACCTAATCAGCTACACAATGCAATATTCAAATGTCATATCATGAAAATTTTATATGATAATTTGCTTTATACGTGAACTCTCAGCTTATATAAATAATGTTTGTCCGGATGTAATCTCATATGGGAAGCTATATTGCAATATATATTATTCTTATTGCAATGAATTTCTTTTGATTCTTGTCGAGTCAGGAGTCTAGGAGTAGTTTCCTAATGGTAAACTTCCGCTGCTTACCATTTCCTTTTCAGCATGATATTTTGTTTGCTCGATGGGTGGCAAAGCATTTCATGTTGCTTTGGAGTGCACACTTCAGAGTTCTGTCACACCCTAAAGTAGGATCAAGTGAAACTATTCCATTTTATGCTTGCACTCTCTTTGCATCTTTACTAATTTTCTCCATTCATCATACTCACAGATTCATAAGCCTTTTTGACATACTCTTTAATTTTTCTATGACAAATTATGCAGGTTAGCATGAGATGTTTACATGCACGATGATCCAAATCCTCGATGGCACTTTTCACTAAAAACTTGTGAATGTGGGAATTAGAGCACTTTCTCCTGCTTGTCTGCATCACTATATTCACCATTAAGAAAAGGTAACAACCTTAACTTGCTATTTTTGCGTTCTCTGCATGAGAATGACCTAAGAAGTACCATGGTGCCAGCAGCACTTGGAAGTGATTCCCTAATGCAATTTATATGGGTCTATGTGTGAATCAGAGAGCCATTTGTTCATCTTTTGCATACCAAAACTGAAAGGTAAGAAGCTATAACCATTAGTAACACTAGGAGTAGTACTACTTGATATGTCACGGCAGTATAAGCCTTATAATATCTGGAACTGTGATCCAACATAGGTGCCTTCTTTCCAACAATTCAGCATGGTACATATGCATACCATACAGTGCATGTATGGATTCTTTTTGCTAATAAATCTAGGCAGCTTACTTGAACTAGTGCTCACTTGGGTATTCAATGAAATGATAATAATAATTGGTGGTGAGCTGTTTAGTGTGGCATCAATGTCACAAAGGATATACAAAACAGAGTAAGAACCAAGATGATCCACCTAAGACACCATGATATCACACATGCCGTTTTCAGCATCATGTTTTACATATAGCATGGATGCCTCCTAAGTTTCCTGCTACTAATTAGTACTTCTTCCATTCCAAATTATAAGACGTTTTGGCTTTTCTAGATTCATAAATTTTGCTATGCACTTAGATATATATTATGTCTAGATACATAGCAAAAGCTATGAATGTAGAAATGCCAAAACGTCTTATAATTTGGGATGAAGTACTAGTTAGATTTCATGATCTCTGTTTCCCTTGTTCTGCTAGAGGTTCAGTGTAACGCTAAGGCTGGTGTCGTATTAGAATATGTGCATGTTCTATTACAAGAAAAATGCCTTGCTTTAGATCAAGTTCTGTGAAGTGCAAATGTTTGATCATAATTGCAAACAATTGAGGCTTTTATGGTTCACTCACTTCATTATGTAAGATAGAGAGGTTTTTGCATGTACATATTCATTATCAATAATTAATCTAATTCTATGCTAGATAAAATATAATGGAAGTCTTATCTGGCCACACATAACAATATCTATGACTAGGCTAGTTTGGCCGCAAATATTTGAGGTTTCTATGGCTCCCTAGCTTTTTCAGCACAAGCAGATCAAATTAGCAATGGAAAAAAAATTAAAGAAATACAAGCTAATATTTTCTTAGCTTTTATTCACTATTGAATTTGTCTCTGAGATAGGCAATCAATTACTTCATGAATTTTATACATGTATCTTATATTGCAGGTGTTTTAAGAAGCGACTGTCATAGTGCTTGTGTACTTAATTGACGTGTTAACAAGTCGGGTCTGGGTGCTATGCAAATGAAGGTCAATGTTAGCAGCATCCCAAGTGTTTGCTGAATGGGGACATATAATATAATCAGATAGGAAAATATACATGATAACAGGCCATCATCCAGAAAAGTTGTGTTGCATTGCTGCATTCTACAAATGACATCCAAAGCTCTCAATGATGCAGATTTCAGTTCATCAGAATGAAAGACTTGGATGTCTGTGCGTCATCATTGCAGTTCTACAAAAACAAATGGATGTCTGTGCATCATCTTTGTAACTATGATAACGAACGAAATGGTACTATTTGTGATTAGCATCATGTACTATTGTAAAATATTACGAGAACATTGTCTCCTGGGACCGATTCACAATTCTTAGTAAAATTAAAATAATATTTATAGTTTAGATAATGAATTATCATTGTTGAGAAGTAATTCATCACAAGGAACCTAGTGTAGAAAGAAATTAATGGCCAAATATATGCATCCATGGAGGACTAGCAGAAAAAAATGACCCCATAACCGAATTCTGTCCACGCACCAAAAAAAAAAAAAAAAATCGGCTAGAAGCGCACAACGGACAAAAAAAAACGTCCGACCAAAAAAAAAAAACAGGTCAGAAACACACAAAGGACAAAAAACAAACAAAAAAAAACGGCCAGAAACACAGGCATAAGTAGGCAACAGGCACGAAAAAAAAATCAACGCGAGCATCGCTTAGGCAGGCCGCGGGCGATCGTGCGTCATCTGCGGGCGTGGGGATGGCCTCGGGTACTGAATAATAACCAGTACCCTGGGTATTAACTAGCGCAGTCCTATATATATATATATATATATATATATATATATATATATATGTTACGACTGCAACTTACGTGTTCCCTGATGTTGCAATTATCAAATGAAGGAAAACACTACTGGAAAGATGGAAACTAGCAACTAGCTAGGTGACGATGACCCATTCAAATTTGAAACATTAATTACAGTGCAGCTTCGGAAAACAACATTACACAGAGTGGAAAGCGTTATAAAAGGGAAGGGAAACAAGCAACATAAACGTAGCTTCTTATTACACACACAGATGAGCAAGAACAGTAGAGAGTAGCACGTCCACAACAATAGACTTGCAGACAAAATTACTACTAGTAATGGGATTAGCCAGGACCAGGAGTCAAACCATGTCGTCTTGAGCCGTGCAAATCACAGGAAGTCGATGGAGTAGCGCCAGCGTCGGTGGTGAAGACGTAGTCGATGATGCAAATCTCTGAAGTCGATGGAGCGGTGGTGCCGGCAGTGGAGACGTTGACCATGTCGTCTTCAGCCATGCAAATCTCGGAAGTCGATGGAGCGGCACCGGCGCCGGTGGTGAAGACGTCGATGATGCAAATCTCGGAAGTCGATGGAGCGGTGGTGCCGGTGGTGGAGACGTTGGGAGTGGATTGTGGAGCAGTGGCGTTGTTCCCAGCTTCGACTTCTTGGCTTGGTGGCTCCTCCCTCTGCAGCTTGTCGGTGAAGGTCTCCATCCCCATGTGGAACAGCGTGAGCCACACATAGGAGAGGAACTCGCCGCCTTCGCCCAAAGCCTTGGCTTTTTTTTTTTCGAGAACGTGACTTCACGTGTATTTCATTAAGAAGAAAGTCTGAAGGACTGAACAACAACGACCCTTGGCGAGCTGCCAGGATCAACAAGCAGCGGCAGTTCCCGGACCGGGCAACAAACAGAAAACGTTACATGACGAAACGGTTGCGCGACTAAGAAAGATGGCACACTAAGCTGCTGCAGGAAGCACCAAGAACTCGGCTACCGCGGTGAAGCCCGCCGAAATCCACTCGTCCATAACCTGCATCACCTTCCCAACCAGCTGCGACACCGTGGAGGACCTGCCCTCGAAGACTCTGGCATTCCGTTCTTTCCAAATACACCACGACACGAGTAGAAGAGTGGAGTCGAGTCCTCTCCTCAGCTGCTCAATTTAGATGAATAAATTCTAACCATATAAGCTAAGTCAACGTTCAGTCAAAATCTCGTATGGTATTAAACCATACAACGCTTAATGTTATGTACCATAGAGTTTTATTTGATTTATTAAATATTATATGGGTCAAGCCCATAATATATCCAACAATCCCCACCAAACTCTAGGGTTTGTAACAAAGTAGTCTCAGAACTACATTTCTTTTATATACTAGTGTTTCGATGGAGACTGTTAAGTTGAACATCCATCTAGAGTAATAGTTTCACTCAGTCACAACTGAACAATGGACTAAACCTTGAATTGACAGTTTTGTGTGAGGTGAATGTCACTAAAGTCCTTAACTGATACTTGACTGTAAAAGGCATCCCTTCTATTTGAAGCATATAAGTCATACTCCAGTGCCTTTCACGAGTATTTAGAGATCACCCAAATCTCATAGACTATGACCAGCAGTCTGACTCATATAGGTGTGCTCTTCAAAAGATGTTCTGTAGGACAACATCTTTGCTTTAGCAAGCCACTTAGAACACATTAAGATAAAAACCAACCTGCCTTACAGCTAGGAAAGATATGCATCAGAAATGAGTCTTACTAAGGATCTTTCCTCACAATTAACTACTAGCTTGTTTCACCATTCTACTTCACGGGATCTTCGATCACATAGAATAGGTTACCACTATAGTAAATTTCATGTGGGTCTCAAACACATCTCTCTCGATGCACTTTCTATCACATTACGTGATAGACCCTTAGTGAATTGATCTGCTAGATTGTTAGACGTATGAATATAGTCCAATGCTATTACTCCGGAGTTTCTCAATTTTCTGACAGATTTTAATCATCTCTTAACATGCCTTGTAGACTTCATGTCATCCTTAGAACTGTTAACCTTCGTAATCACAGTCTGGTTATCGCAGTTCATAGAAATAGCCGGTATGGATTTTTCAACAACCGATAAATCCATAAGGAGATCACGAAGCCACTCGGCCTTAGAGCCAGCGGTGCCTAATGCTGTGACTTCTGCTTTCATTGTAGACTTCGTTAAGATAGTCTGCTTGTAAGACTTCCAGGAAACAGTGACACCTCCAAGCGAAAACACATATCCATTTGTGGCATAAAGCTCATCAGCATCAGAGATCCAGTTGGCATCACAATAGCCTTCTAGCACTTTTTGGTGTCTGGTATAACGAATACCATAGCTCATAGTGCCCTTTAGATAGTGCATCACTCTCTCAAGAGCACGCCAGTGATCACCTCCCGGGTTTGACACAAACCGACTCAGCTTGCACATAGCAAATGAGATGTTAGGCCTTGTTGCACTAGCAAGATACATGAGCGAACCAATGATCTAGGAATATCTCAACTGATCATTTGCTATTCTCCAATTTTTCCTCAATAGCACACTTGGATCATAAGGTGTAGGAGCAGATGCACAGTCACTAAAACCAAAGCGACTTAGCACCTTTTCCACATAGTGAGATTGTAACAGAGTTACCCCACCATCACCTTCTCTCAGAAGTTTGATATTAAGAATAACATCAGCCTCTCCCAAATCTTTCATCTCAAAATTATTAGATAAAAATTCCTTCACCTCCTTAATCACTTTGAGGTTGGATCCAAATATCAGTATGTCATCAACATATAAGCACAAAATGACTCCTTCACCCCCACCATACCGATAGTACACACATTTGTCAGTTTCATTCACAACAAAGCCAGCAGATGTTAAAGTTCTGTCGAACTTCTCATGCCACTGCTTAGGAGCTTATTTTAGGCCATATAATGACTTTAATAATTTACACACCTTGCCTTCTTGATCATTTGCTACAAACGCATCTGGCTGATCGATATAGATCTCCTCCTCCAACTCTCCGTTTAGGAAAGCTGTCTTAACGTCCATTTGATGTATGATAAGACCATAAGAGACTGCCAGGGAAAGCAAAACTCAAATTATGGTCAATCGGGCAACCAGTGAATAAGTATCAAAGAAATCATCACCTTCCTTTTGGGTATAACCCTTGGCCACAAGCCTTGCCTTGTACCTCTTGATAGTACCATCAGGCCTAAGCTTTTTCTTGAACACCCATTTGCACCCTATAGGCTTGCACCCATAAGGACGATATACAATTTCCCAAGTTTCATTAGACATAACAGAATTTATCTCACTCCATACTGCTTCTTTCTATAAGTCAGCATCAGGAGAGGAATATGCCTCTTCAATGGTTGTTGGTGTGTCATCCACAAGGTACATAATATAGTCATCACCAAAAGACTTTGCAGTCCTCTATCTCTTACTTTTCCTAGTGACTATAGTGTCACCCTCCTCAGGATTTTGCATATAGGGTTCCTCAATTTGTTCTATCGGAGTAAAATTTTCATGCTCATGGAGAATTATAAATTCATGACCAGTCATGCTAGGTGCATTTTTCATGGAAAACTCATTCTCAAAAAATGTAGCGTCTCTAGATTCTATGATTGTATCAACAGCCATCTCAGGAACACTAGAATTTATAATTAAAAATCTATAACCTATGATGTGAATAGCATAACCAAGAAAGACACAATCAACCGTCTTTGGTCCAAGCTTTAGCTTTTTGTTTATTGGCACATTAACCTTTGCTAAACCACCCTAAGTTCGCAGGTAAGAGAGATTTAATCTCTTCTTCTCCCATTTCTCGAATGGTGTAATTTATTTGTTCTTTGTGGGCACTCTATTCAAAACATGACACGCTGTCAATATAGCCTCACCCCACCATTCCTTAGATAGTCCCGCAGTCTCTAACATGGCATTAACCAAATCAGTTAGAGTACGGTTCTTTCTCTCTGCAATCCCATTGGACTGTGATGAGTATGGCAGCGTCCTCTCATGAATAATTTCATGCACCGCGTAAAAATCAGAAAATTCATTTGAGAAATATTCTCCCCCGCGATCGGACCGCAAACGCTTGATTTTCTTCTCAAGTTGATTTTCTACCTTAGCTTTATAGACTTTAAAATAATGCAACGCTTCATCTTTAGTTTTTAATAAATACACATAGCAAAATCTAGTACAATCATCTATAAATGTCATGAAATATCGTCTACTGCCTTTAGTCAATTCGCCATTTATTTAGCATAAATCAGAATGAACGAGTTCTAAAGGTGCCAAGTTCCTCGCCTCAGCAGCCTTGTGAAGCTTGCGCGGTTGTTTCGATTGCACACACACCTGGCACTTAGAATTTTTGACTAAGTTAAATTTCGGGATTAAATTCAGATTTGCAAGCCGCGTGAGACAGCCAAAATTAATGTGACAAAGTCGTGAATGCCATATATTCGACTCATCCGAAACATTAACATTGTTCACTATTTTATTACACACATCATCCAACAAAGATAAGCGGCACAAGCCTCCACAATCATACATTTTCCAACAAATGTTCCATGTCTCGACACAACACACTTATTGGACTCAAACACAATTTTAAAGCCATCACAACACATTTCAGAAGCGCTAACAAGATTCTTCTTAATGGAGGGGACATGCTGCACGTTCTTTAATAGCACTGTCTTTCCCAAAGTAAACTTCAAAACGACCGTACCAGCACCAAGAACACGCGCATGCGAATCGTTTTTCATCAGCAAGGCTCCAATCCTGCCGGCCTGATAGGAAGTAAACAAAGAAACATTAGCACACACATAAATATTAGCACCGCTGTCCATCCACCACTCAGGTGAAAGATAAACTGAGAGAACAAAAGGTAAAGAATTACCATACCTAGATGTTCCTCCTCCAGTCTCGCTAATAACTACGTTTGCTGATTTCTTTTTTTGCTTATATTTACGGTCTGGGCACGCACTTGCCCAATGCTCATCACTCCCGCAAACAAAGCAACCTCCACCTTTCTTGTTATTTTTCTTCTTAAACTGAGCAGTCTGCTTAGGCTTTGTATTGTTGTTCTCTTGCATGTTCTTCTTCTTTTTATTACGAGATGCAAATGAGTTTTTCTTCTGCACCATATTGGCAGTGGAAGACTCAACTCCTTTCCCACGGTTGTCCTTTGCTCTTGCCCTCTCCTCAACATCAAGAGATCCAATAAGCCCAGCCACGCTAAACTCTTGTCTTTTGTGTTTTAGAGAAGTAGCAAAATCCCTCAAAGAAGGTGACAGCTTAGCGATTATACCGCCGGCCATAAACTTGTCAGGCAACAAACATGGAAAATATTTTAGTTCATTTGCTAGCGCCTGTATCTCATGAGTCTGTTCTACTATAGAACGGTTTTCAACCATTTTGTAGTCATACAGCTGCTCCATAAGGTACAGCTCACTACTAGCATCAGAAACTCGAAACTTTGCCTCAAGAGCATCCCATAATTCTTTGCCTGATGTGCAAGATATGTAGTTTTTCTCATACTTGGGATGAAGTGCACTAATCACGACGCCTCGAAACAGGTTATCGGCAGCCAAAAACTTTTGCTCCTCCTCAGGAGTAAATTGTTCAGGCTTCCCCTGTGCGGCATGATAGTAGTTCATCGTAGTCAACCACAAAACCATCTTGGCACGCCATATGATGAAAT